CAGAGGCCTAGGTCCGGATTAAGGAACTTTTGTCCATAGACCTGTATTTGGGTATTATTAGCTGCTACGAGGGAGGTCCTGGTGGCTGGAGTATAGCGTTTCTTTGTAGACCGTGGAATAACACTGACTTCGGAACCTGTGTCTACCAAGAATGTAGGTTCGGAGTTCTTGTCTGTAATGTATAGCAGACGACTAAGATAGCTGCCAGGATCAGTCGTCGCCTTTACTGCCTTTTCCCGCCGGACTGGGTTATTGGCATTTACGGTATTGACACCAAGGGGTACATTTTAGCGTTATCTCCGAAGGTCTAGATACATGAATTTTAGGTAATTTTTGAAGTGCTGTAAAAAATAGCAAGCAATATTTTTATTATCAATTTTTATAAATTATTTATTCATATTAGAAGCATACAAAAAAATAAAATAGTAAAAAAATTAAAAATTCCGTTAGTTATCAGCGTCTCAAAAATTTGGTGCGTGACCATACCCACGATTTGTGATCTCTTAGCATTCTGAAATCAAAAAATAAAAAAGATAATCAATCTACAATAATGTCGCAATGTCTGGAACTACGGAAATGTTACAAAAATTTTTTTACAAAATGGCGACTGCCTAAAGAAAAAAATTTTTGTACCACTTTTTTGAACATTCTTCGATTTTTTTAAAAATAGTAATAATGAAAATTTGGGGATGGCCGTAGTTCTGGACATAGACAAGTCCCTAAAGAAGACTCTCGTAAGATTTCAAGTAAATCAGTTCGGCAGAACCTGAGAAACCGTGGGTATCAGATTCAAAAAGACAGTTCTGAGAATAACACGTTTTAAGTTTCCAGCAAAATTTTTGCAGTCTAAGTCATAAAATTATATTTTTAACTTACATTTATTCAATCTGCCATTCCTGCTGCATACATCGAACATTCCTCGACTTCGAAAAAAACTATTTTCGGCGTCTGTGTTTTCTATTCGAGCAGTTCTGGCCTCCTTTGATGCGCTGGATGCTCGTATCTCGAAGCGGTCAATCCGAGCGTTGTCTCGTCTGATAGCATCTCGAAGCGGTCAATCCGAGCGTTGTCTCGTCTGGACCAATTTTCACTCCCATAATCGTCATCATCTTTAATATCGGTATAAAGCCTTCATTAAAAATACACACAGCAGTAAATATTCCAATTTAAATGATCTGAGACCCGAAATGGATATGCATTGGAGCGAAAGTCCATATCAGCGAGATTAGAGACTCATTATTATTTTGAGTTTCTGAACCCGAACATCGAGTCAATAACTCTTCTGATGATAAACTTCGAAGGATTTGTTAACGAATGGACATGATGGAATGTAGCATAGACTATCGCAACTGCATTGTAATGCAATTTTGAACCCGAGTCCACGTTGAGCCGTTCCTGAAAATCTAATCTCGTTGTTGCATGTAGTGCACAAAACAAACGAAGAAATCGCTGAAAAGACCGTGAAAAACTCCAAAACCCCTTTTCCGTAATTTTTATCTATAATCACCTCTTCATCATTTGATTTCCTCAATTTTTCTGCTGATGTACTCGTAGCACTGGTGATTTCCTGTTCCGTAAATCTGTTGCCGTGAAATGTATACATATAACGGAACAAAAGGGCTTACTAAGAAATACAGATTTAGGTAGTCGGAGAACCCATTATGTCTTTTGTTCGATTAGTTGCAGCCCAACCGGTTTGGATGCCTGCTCAGCAAAATACTTATTTCTCCTAAAATAATTTGGATTTTGGAAAATCCTCTCGTAGACATATTCTTTAATAGTTAAACTAAGAAAATATGAAAAAATCGATTTTTTAATTTATAGACCAGAATACCCCCTCAATATAAAATTCTTGTATAGTGAATACCGAAATAAAACAATACATATAAAAATACAACAGTTATGGTGAAAATTTGCCTTATCACATTAAATGACGCCTAGAAGTGGAATTACATTCGGGCTTCAATTTCTCTTTTCGAATGTAGAGTCTATGATTCCTTGAGAGCTTTCATTGAAAATTTACGACCACCTTCCACTTCTTGGGCGCAATAAACTGTGCCATATGCTCCGTGTCTAGGGGCTCCTCCAACTTAATACTACAAATAGCCATTTTCAGTGAGAACAGGTCTGTGCATCTGGTTCAGTACTCGTTCAATTTTTGGTACTAGACTTGGATCTACGACTTCTACACAATCCTCTTTGAAGCATGTTGAAAAGAATTCATGACTGGATGCTTTTGTCGACAGACGTCTAGTCGGACTATTCGCAAGCAAATGCGTCACTAAATCAACCACCTTTTCCGTTGTCGTCCTTTTACTTTCGTGTTATTAAAAACTGAAAATCAATACTCCCATATATAGCAATTTCCCTTAGGGTAATAATTTGCTGATGAATTAATTCTAGAAGTTCTTCACCACCTTGAATCAGTGCGATTTTCAAGAATACAAAACTCGTTATAATGCAGCCAGTAGACCGAAGATCTACCGCGAAATCGCGCCTCTCATGAAAGTTGCAAAATAGACAACGCTTTCTACCTCGAGATTTAGTAGAAGCTCTGGTCTTCTATAAAGAACTGAATTAACACAGGTTTCATATGGACTGCCGTCTTTGTGTTCCAGTGCATAATTCCAACCAGCCAGTTTTAAATAACCTCTTTCTGTAATAATTAAAAGGCTGTCAAGATTAATGGATCTTTGGATGATATGGTGAGGATGGATGGACTCCAAGACCAAAAGATTCTGGTGACTGTAATTACTAATATCACCCACCTTATTTTGCTTACCCTGAATATACTCGCACGAAACGCAACATTTTGGTATCTAAATATTAACTCCAATGCAAGGTCATCAAGATGTCACTTACTCAACCATCAGCAGTCACGGAGCCAATCACTTTGATGATACGTGGGCTCTCTCGTAGTTTCTCGAAATTGGTTATTTCACCACTTGCTCTCACTTCTGGACTAAACCAGTAGGCATTAGGGCATTTAAATGTTCGTACAACTAACATACAAAGAATGCAGGTAGAGCGTAGCCTACCCACCGAGATTCACTCTAGGTTTCCAATTGACAGTTGCCCACGTTTTATCGGTTGCTATTCTACGAGGAAAGATCACGAAACCCATCAACCGCCATAATATAGTCCAGTTGCCATCTTTATCATAAAACAGTTGTCACTTCCTCAGTATTGACGTTGTACCTTTCCAACCATTCCAATTCCCGACTCCATTTCAATCGTTTGTGGTTGTTCAATGCAGACGGAATTCAACTTGCCTCGCACTTTTTTCAATACTGAAAAAAATACTGCATCCTATTTGCCTTTACACAAAAATCGTTTTGTAGAGGAATCTATAAGCCTAACTTGCTCGGTCGAGGGTTACTTTAGAGACGATTATAACTGTCAAAGTCGTCATGTTGTCGCTTTTGCCGCTACTTTACACTCGGTCAATTCCCTTATCTCCCTCCAAGGAGTCAAAAGCGACCCGGAAGCCTAATTAAAAGCAGAGGGAGGTTCGTACCCATTTCTAAATTAGGTCCCCGAGTTTATTATCTAAAATTATTTCCACACCCATGGCAAATGAAACAATAGACCGCAGCAACTGTTGTATTAACATGATTCAACAAATTTTTATATAACAATAGAAATTATAAATACATTTTCAAATACACGCACTAGTAATATATACAATGATGCCGCTCATCCACAATTACTAAATGAAACGATAAAATTATTGCAAACGAATTGTTCAATAGGCGAAAGTGGTCTAAAATATAGAAAAGAGAAACATTCTTAGTTAAAGAACTTTAAAATATCTATGATACAATTTGATTCGATACGATTGAAGAGCAATTCCCACAAGTTGTCCTTAAATCTTCCAATTGATATGTGGACACATGCAGCTTCTGACAGTGACTGCAGAGTAAATACAGTTATGCCAAAATCTCTCCACCTCTGGCCGAGTTAGTGGTGCAGAAGCCGTACTGTATAAAATACTTTAAGGACCATATGGTGTGCCCCAAACGTCCGTTTCCAAAATAGGAATACACAGTTGTGAGCCATGTAGTCCGTTATCTAATCAAATGGAAATACGCCCTCTTACAGAAGACTTTAAAATGGAAGTTGAACGGGAAGTTAGACGTAACTATTGACTAGGTAAGACTAAAGGACAGTCTTTCCCTGTCACCATAAGTGGAGGTTTGGAGTCACCGGCAGAATGACTGCTTGTCCTTTCTACATGAAGTGCATCAATAAAAACCCATTAGGGCATGAAACTGCATAGCAAAACCCAGCTACAAGAATGCCAAAAATAGCAATCCCAGCCATATCAACGGAACAGAAACAATATTATGAAGATTTTGAAAAAATATCTATCATCACATTATAGAGACCTGACTTCTCGAATTCATAGATTCCGTCTTATCCAATTAAATTACAATCAAGCAATTTGACTTACGGAAATAAGACCAGATTTGAAAGGTAATTAGCTGTAGGCTGGTTAAGAGTCTGTAGGAGGAAGTGGGATGGAGGATGGCGATGGAATGTTGTAGAGACGACTATCATTCGACCGAATGGCACAAGCAGTCGCAGTCTGTTCTTCCTCTATGGAGACAGTACACCAGTTGTTATAAGTATTAGTTGTGGGATTTTCAGTGTCTGATTCCTCTTTTTCTGGCCCATTCCCGGACTTTCTCCCATCCACAACTCCATCTGTTCCTGATGAAGAAGCCGAGCGTAACGACCTTTTGTGTCTGTATTTTTCTGCCAGGTGGTAAGTTAAACAAGTATATAGATTAAAGAATATAAGACAAACCAATAACCACTACCGAAATATTTATTTAGAAACTTTCGATTAATCGATTGAAGTAAAGCGACGAATAAATTAGTTCCAGTGAGTTAAAAATCTCAGCCGTGAGTAAGTTGTTCCATGTAATGTAAAGGGGGAATAATTAATTAAAGTGACAAGACTGGGTAACATGACTGAATAGACGATAGAGAAACACTGGACAACAAGAACAACAGTACTCTTGGGGATGGATTCATGAAATTTAAATTTGCAGTTATGCAGTAATTAACTGTCCATTAAGTGGAGATAATCGGATACTTGACAACCTGCCTTTACACTTAATACCTTTTCGATTCGCTCTACTTAATAGCTTTAAATTAAGGACAATGCTTGAGCTATTCCCACCACCCAAAATAAGAATGAAAGTTAAGAAAATCTGGTTTCCGAATATCATCAACTAAGTAGAAATCGAGTACACACTTCGATAGAAGACATTTGAAGATAACATAGAATCTAGTTGTACTTCATTCATTCTCTCTCAGAGAAGAAACTCCAGATCTTCAATTGTGCCAATCACAAATTAAACAACCTGTTTATTTCCCATTCTTTGCCATAAGACAAAAGCAGTGGGACGACGACACTCAACAACAACGGAATACAGTATAAGTGGCATAAACGGATATTAGAACAGTAAATTCATTTTAAAAACACCACTAGGACGTCTCTATTTAGGGATAAACAAACAAACATCAAGTCTGGGATGTCTAGCTTCCATTATATTAATCTCATTGTATGGTGCAAAGGCGCAAATATTTTATTGATGTGTATACATATTGAACCAAATAGTTGCTATTACAACAACTTTATTTTTAGTACTTACATCTGCAAAATTTGTCAATGAGTCTTACATTTAGACTGTTAGCCCGCTCCTATATCTCAAGATCATCTTTCATGTAAGCTCTCTATTTACCTAAAATACCTAGAACTGTGATGCTGAGATTATAGAAAGATAAAAACGTTCCTTAGAAAATACTCAACTACTCACAACTCAAAAGTGAAACTCTTGCGCTTCAGAGGAGCAAGATCCAGATCATATTTGTATTGTGCGTGTGAGTTTTTTCAAAGTCAAACAAGTAATCATTTTCGAGAAAATGTTAATCATTACCAAAAATATCGCTTATTACTAAATTGATAATTGTTCCATACAAGATATATGACGTTTCGTATCCTAATTGTAAGACAGGAGACAAATTTTTTACATATTGAAAGATCGTCGTAAATTTGACGAACGATGCTTGTCTACTAGACACGGAAGATCTACGAACAGCGTCCAAGGATCTGTTATTTCTATCGAGGATCCCAAATAAGAGACCAATAAGGACGCGAGCTCCTTTCGTCTCTCCGCTCAGACCATTAAAATGCTTCACGTTGCCGATCACATCCCTAATAAACTCCTATACTATTCAGGCAACTGACAAGTCAAAAAAACAAGGACACAAAGTAGCGATTTAAAGCCTTTATGTCCTACATAAAAACCTATTAAGTCGAGAACTATAATGGAGTCATTGGGTAAATATTTTGAAACAGTTTTCTACCTTGCCTTAATCCCACCTTTCCTTCATCTCTTATTTAACTATTTTAACGTTTGGCGATAATTTTAATTGAAAAGGTAAAGCTGTTTGACTATAAGAAAAAAATCCAACGGGGACTAACTTTTGCGTTCTTCTCTTTGTCTTGAAGGCGATCGAGAGTCTTTTCTACGGTATCGAGAATGTCGTCGTCGACGTCTTGAAGATGTCGATTTCTTTGATGAACGAGAAGTAGACGATGAGGATAAAGTGATTGACTTTCGCCGACGAGGTACTGAAGAGGAAGAACGCCTTCGTCGTCTTGAATGATGTCTTCGGGAATGCCTTTGACGCCTAGATGATCGTACTCGTGAATGAGATCGAGTTCGTGATCGGTGGCGAGAGGCAGGTGGATCCAATTCTTTTACTGAATGAGTTTCTGGAATCTGCAAGAAGAAACAAGTTTCCGGTAGTTTACTACAGTGGATTCGAAAAGAACAAATTTAATTTAACTAACTACACGATGTCGTAGTGATGAGCAGATTAAATGGAGAGTTAAATTCGAGTTACAAACCCGAGATTTAAATGACTTTTTCTAGAGATAACAAAAGAAATAAAAATTTGAAAAGCAGAGTCTAGCGCTTCATTTCCAAGCAAGCTTTAGAGGAGGAATGCGTATATTTAACTTTCTCATACTATTTAAAAATCTTCAACATCTTAACGCTTTAAAGATCTTTATTATTTGTCAAAACGTCAGAGACAGATCATCTACCTTTAACACAATCATTGAATTTGAGATATGATTCCTCAGTGGAATTTGATAACCAAACATTCTAGATTTTCTCGTTGCATTCACTTTTAAGTGTAGTTTTCGCAGTTTAACACATGATGTAACAATATTAGACTTTACGAAATGGCCACAAATACGAGAAATAAATAACACTCGAATGACCTAAAGATAACAGTCAATATTTAGAGGAAGGAACTAGATCATATTCTCACTTAATTCTCTTTCGAGTAACGAAATTACGTTTTTGCGTTCAGTGAATAAAGGGAAAATGTATGATAAATGGTACGACTGGCTATTATCGCAGGAGACCTGTGAGCAAATCAACCGGACTAAAGCCCATCCAATCTGAAACCGTTTCGACAGGAAGAGAGGGAGAAGAAAGGAACCGAGATTGAAAAGATAACGATCACAAGTATCGAGAATTACGAGAGAAAGGGTAACCGAAAATAGAACGTTGAATTTACACCTAGTCCACATCCATACCAATTTCTACTGCAACCGTCTCAAAAGATAAAACGGCATTTTGAAATAAATATTTGTCTACTACCAAATAATAGCATTTTGACCCAAGATAGGCTCCGCCATGCAATTCAAAAGCTTAATGTTAAAATAAAATTTCCCTTCTGAAATTCAAAGTCCTTAAACTTGATCTTGTGCATCCGGTATAGACGATATTTGCCCATATATTATCAAATAGATTTGGAACAATGAACATTTAGATGTCAACATCCGATTAATTTAAAAAAAAATTTCAGACCGATAAATACTAAGATGACTGAAAAATTCACAATAGTCGGGACATAAAAGGAAGTATGGAAGATGGAAAGAAAATTGTAACGCAAAACAAATATCACCATATCATCGGACCTTATGGATACCAAAATTTAGAGGCGGAACTAATAGTAGGCAAAGAAGTTTGCTTTCCATTCGATTAGCCGTGAATCTTAAAAAGCTGGAGAATTCAAACTATTTTCCAGTAGCTTGCACTGCAGGAAAGGTGAAAATAAACATATTGATTAAAAAGATTACGTATTCTATTATATATTGGCAAACAGCAAGGAGAAGTCAACTGTGATTTCTGACCGACCATAGTTATAATGTCTTAAAAAGGAACAATAAAACATGTAGACGATGAATTATACATGTAAAGAGCAAACAGGCAGAACTGACCTGATCCAACTCCATAGAAAGGAGTCGAGCAGCAACAGAAGCTGCAGCAACAGCAGTAGCAGCAGGAAGTTGACTGACAAGGGGATTTGTGTTAATACCATCTGGAGGCGATATGGCCTTGGTAACCCGTAATAACTGCCCACCAAGATCAAACCGATTCATACTAACCACTGCAGCAATAGCCGATTCCTCATTATCGAACTCCACATATCCGAACCCTCGATGAGATGACCCGGGTTGCTGGGGGTCAGGAATAAGTCTAAAAGAGGGCAACAATGCAATTTAAAGTAATAAAAACCTACCGACACATAGTTATATTGCCAAAAGCCCGAAAAACACATTCAATATCTGAATCTGTGAGCTCTGAATGTACACCGCCGACATAAATACGCTTTTGCAGTTTAAACTCTTCAATTAACTCATTCATAAATGGTGTCGCATCAGGGAGATTACTAGGTCGACCCACTTTGAGAAGACGTCCGGCAAAGTTTGTTCCATTCATTTGTTCAATGGCCAATAGGGCTGATTCAGGGTACTCGAATTCAACGAAGGCGAAACCTTTGTGCTTCAAAGTAGTAGGATCCCAGCTCATACTTACATTCTTCACAGGACCAAAAGGAACAAAAGCCTGTTTAATAGCATCCTCCTTTACATCATAGGCAATGGAACCAATATAAATCCGATTAAGCAAAGCTAGTGTCTGATTCCTTCGAGCAGTGTTTATTTGCAAACTTTCATTCTGTTGAGACTGTTTAAGTAAAACAGTTTTAATATTTTGTTCCATTGCATATTTCTTAGCCCGTTCAATTGCATCAAGCTGAGCCATTGTTGGTTTGCGCAAAGTAAATACTTCCTCCATTTTATCAGCACCGGGACCGTGGAATATAGGTCCAAAGGGTTCAATAATGATTTCTTCCAATTGTAAATTTGTGATCATGGTAGAAGGACAAACCGTATTAGAGGCACACAAATTCAAACAGGCGACGAGCGTCTGATAGGATATATAACCAATTTATAAAGTTTTTTTTAATTTAATGATAGACTGACACATTATTAAAAAATTAGCAATTATTTTAAAAATGCTCAATCATGATAATGAAATTGTTTACAAACAAAAGTTCACATTTTAGGCATTTCAGTATATATAGATTTTAGCATTTCAAATCTTATTAATAAATTGCACAAAATCTGCTAACAATAACGATTTTAAAAGTGCCAACTTTTACAAATGGTAAATCATTCATTGCTCCGTGTGGATTGTTTGCCTTATTCTTGAAATCTGTTGCGTCGCAATTAGGAAAGTGAATACAGGCAAATAAATTCAGTATATATTTCTTCGTTAGTGGAGAGGAAAAGCCTGTTGCCAAACTCCCAACAATCCCAGTGAGGCTTCTCAAACGGAGGAAGCAAGCTAACAAGGATGTTATTAAAGCCCAACTGAAGCACTCCTCAGATATACACAGGCGAGCCAGAGAACGACGAAGTGTGATTCGAAGACCTGCTCATTTTATCGCGGTAAGTTGATTTCTTCTTTACTTATTTCCTTAGACTGCTAGGAAGGAGTCGAGGGACCAGAAGAGATTGGGACGCGTGTCCACACGAAAAGCGCCCATTGCAACGGACGATCGTCTTGGAATTGTTATTCGACTTCACGGCGATAACGGGCTTTCGGCAGAATCGAAGCAAGTTCTTCAAATCCTCAACTTGCATGCCCCAAATACTGCTGTGTTTGTAAGAGTTTCGGAGGCGATGTTGAAGCTCTTAACTGTTGTCTGTCCATACGTTGCTTGGGGTTATGCTGACTTGGCAACTGTTCGAAGTTTGATCTTCAAGAGGGGGAAAACCAAGGTTGGCAATAAGATTCGTTCAATTGACAATGCAGTTGTGGAGGAGAAACTCGGATCATTGGGCATTCTCTGCATTGAAGATCTTATCCACGAACTGATGACTCTGGGACCCCACCTTCGTGAGGTTTTGGGTTTTGTGCACCCTTTCAGACTGAGGCCACCCACTGGTGATTGGAAAAGGCACTTGAAGAGGGCTCAGCACCCTTTCAATCATACGGTAGCAAATAGATATGAGATGATAAGTGAATTGATCCAGAAAGTTGTGTAATTTTTTAACCAGTTTTTGTCTCTTGAATGAATTTGTATATAAATGTATGCAATCAGTTCGTTACGTTCTGCCTAAACTTCTTGTTGGCTCTTGACTATTTCTGATTCATTGATATATTTGCTGAGGTGAAAGCTGGACATATTATAGCTTGGTCTAAGTGAATTTGGAAGGGGAGTTCTTGAAATATTAAACGATGAATTAAGGTTGTTTCCTAGTGCGTGTGTGTGTGTGTGTGTGAGTGCGTGTTAATAGACGCTGCAGGTTCGTGGCGTTTGGACAGTGTATGTAAGCACAACGTTGTTGAGTGCTAAATGATATCTGCTAACATATTGCTTGGGACATAATTTGGAGATTTCCTCAAGAGAAAGTGCTTTTCAAGGCATTTTTCGCAATGGGAGTAAGAGGGGAATGAGCTTGCGCCGCTACTGCTTAAGTTGGTAGCTTCGATTGATCTAAGCTGTTTGTAATATCTAAAGGCAACAACTGGGTAACATTTAATCAATTTTAACTAGTGTTCCTTAATTTCGTTTTAGCAACTAAGTTGGGTGTCCCAAAGAGCTGAAAACTAAAGTTGATTGAACGAGTTATCATTGAAATGGGATTTTGAGCGGCAACATAATATTTGAGTAGTGAGTTGCATTTCAAATAAATTTGGAAATTGTAGAGTTCGAGCAGGGATAATAGAGCATTAACGGTGTATAATCATAGGATTAAATATTAGCCCAGTGCGTATGTAACCTTATTGAAAAATATGGATGTCTGTATCGGCAACCGTATGGCCGAAGCATGCATTATGTATTCCAGGAATTCTAACCAATGGGGAAATTACTACCCGCCGCACTCATTTCCTCCATTTAATGCTCCTCTAACTCACACGCCACTGTTTATTGAGAATGCCGTGAATAAAGGAGGCTAGAAATTTGTAATCCGTATAGACAGAGGCCATAGGTCAGTTGCCTTCCTATGTGAATTGCAAATAGCGTTTTTTCTCGAAACAGATCAAAGGTAAGGTCCTACTACGCAGGCCAACTTCTATTAACCCTTCTCTTGATGAGTTTTAAAGTCATATTTTTCTCGAATAGACTAACAATCTACTTGCTCACCCGCAAGGGTAATTCGTAACTCTGACTTTGTATGATAAACGGAATCAAGTTAAGCAGATAAAGAATTCAGTTTAG